TCCAATTATTAAACTGATAAATTCTTGTTTTTTTAGGTTTGTGACACATTATTGGACCGTGCAAAACAAAGCCTCAGGAGGGACAAATTAACGTACAAAAAGTAAACCTGTGCATGAAATTATGTTTTGTTTTTATAAAGTGTTTTTAGAATGTTTTTTATTGTTGGCTTCCATATAAATATACTGGTGTGATAAGTTAGTGTCATTGGTTTTTGGTATATGTCTATTGAGAATTTATAGCCCCCCTGGAGAAAACTCCCCTAGCCACCACTGCATTAGTTCTGTCGTCAAACTAGCTACAGCTGGTTGCAATCTTAAAATCTTGCTCAAACACCAATTGTAAATAAACTTGTTCCTAATAAATATATGAATTTAAAATATAACTCATATAGAATTACCAGTCTTACTGTTTGCAGGTTAGATTATGGGGTTGGAGTTGGACTCCTGAGGCAGAACGTTTTGGCTCCAGTTAAGAGCCAGCTTGGGTTTCTGAAAGCAGACTCCCCACTTCACCCTCCGGGAATGTGGGCCAACTTAATCAATAATTCAAACCACCTCACCACTCACCTCAGCTGGATGGTATGATTGTGAGTGGTTGAGCTTCGCAGAAAATTGGCTTTTGTTTGGGAATAGTGTTAGACGCGGAAAAGCAGGAAGACAGGGAGGAACTTGAACCAAAGTTATCAGCGTGCAGGAATATATAAATATTATGTTGAAAGGTACCCGAACAGTTTGATTTGAACAAACCTACTGATACATTTTAACTTAGCTAATCAGTTTACAGTCTTTGTAACCAGTTGGTTCATGCCTTAGGCTACTGTTGCCATCCAAGAACAATATGAGTAAGAAGAGATTCCTATACAGTGCACAGGGTTGTAGTAATCTAAGCCTGCTGACAAGAATCTGCAGTCTGGCTTTGGCTGACATAATCTAGTATGCTGACAAGGACTGTTAGTCTATCCTAATCTACTTCTAAATCCATGATTCATAGATTTGATCAAAGAAATTCAACCGTACTTTTGAAAAGTAATTACTAAATGAGTCATGTGATGTCATATCTAAACACAGATCAAATAACACAAACTACATCGTAACCACAGCTTCTCTTGGCCTCATTGACAGAAACAAGGCTGTTGTACATAGGCATACGTAGTAGACAATGTGGTTATAGTGTCTTTCCCAAGAACACAATAACACGTAGCTGGGGATGGAACCGACAACCCTGCGGTTGTAGGGCAGACCCCTGCATCTGAAGCTGCTGATGCCTTATCTGTGAAAAACAGATGTGTCACAAAAAGCATTGATCTAAACTAATAGGATCAGAAACAGTCACCATAATTATATATTCTTTATTCTATTTAATTATTACACCTCAGTACCAAGTCCAGGGATTGTTTTTAATTTTTTCGGAATGACTATGAACTGTATGACTGAGAACCTTCACCAGTATACACCTCAGTAGTGCAGTTTGTAGCACCATTACCACTGCAGCAAGAAGGTCCTAGCTTCCATCCCTGGCCCGGGTTCTTTCTGCAGGGAGTTTACATGTTTCACCATTTATGTTTGAATTATACTCCAACTTCCTCCCACAGTTCAAAAACCTCTCTAATAGGTGAATTGGTGTCTCTAAATGTTCTTTAGGTGTGATTGTGTCAGTGCATGGTTGTGTGTCTCTGTGTTGCGCTGCAACAAACTGGTGACCTATCCTGGTTCTGTTCTACCTTTTGCCTGTAGACTGCTGGAGATAGATATCAGCTTTGAGCCTGACAGATATGCGGGAAAAGATTAAGGGATATCATCATTAAGGGATATCATCTGCTGCGGTAACAGTATTAGAGCTACTGAGTTAAAAAAAAGCTCAACGAGCTAATTAAGAAGACCTGCTCTGTTCTCGGAGCTCATCTAGTACCTTTGGAGATTCACAAGGAAGAATTCTTCATAAAGTGAAAAAAAATATATATGGACAATAGTGAGCATTCTCTTCAGGGGATTTTTAAACAGCAACAGATTGTCTTCAGTAGGAGGTTCTCCAGATCCAGTGGAAGACAGACCTCTACAGAAGATCCTTGCTGCCTACAGCTATCAACAACTACAACGCCTGTTTAAAAAAAGAACTTAAGAGTGCAACATTTAATTTCCCATTGGGATTAATAAAGTATTTCTGAATTGAATTGAATTGAATTGAATGCAGTCCCAGTGGTCTAGTAGTTTAACTCACAAATTAGTTTGAATTATGGTATTTTGTTGAGAACTTGTGCATGGTCATTTTCTGTAGCCACAGTCAGGCCATATTAATGTCACCTGGTAGAATAAAGAAATAAGTAAAATAGAACCTGTCTGAAGATTCAAACATGAAGATGTTAAAAGCAATAAGTCATATCCAAATCAAAATGCTCAAAGAACAGATGGAAAAAGAGATGATTAAAACTTATCACTCTGGAAATGGTCCCAAAGGTCTGGGGCTCCAGTGAGAACCCTTATCCAGAAATGGCATAAAGCACTGCGTTTATCCTCTGAGCATGCCTATCTGAAGTACACCATGGAATCAACAAGTTATCCATGAAATCAAAGAATGACCAATAACAACATCCAAAGCACTGTAGACCTCAGCTTCCTCAATTACAGTAATGAAAAAATAGATAAGACGATAACTACATAATTTTAAATCACTATTAACCAAAAATGAATACGTGGAGCTCTTTCAATTTTGTGTACATAAACGTGCATTGATAAATTCCAAGAGATTCTACAAAATATGTTGAATAACTATAAAATATGGAAAGTTTTGGAAGGTATGCTTTTCCCTACATCTGACTTAAACTAGCAAAGCATTTCACAGAAAGGATTTCATACTTACAGTCCATCATGGTGGTATTGGGAAATTTGATATTATTGAATTCCATTCTATCCAATACATTCCCCAAGGAGAAAGTCCAGACATTAACACAGGACTTTAAAATAAGAATTGGGGCAATTATTTGAAAGCCCCCCCCACAGTACCACCTTAAAATTGCTCAAAAATAACAATTGTAAAAGCATAGAGTTGGACTAATCAAAGTTTGGACATCTCTAACTTAGATTATGAGTTAGGGTTAGGGAACTTAAAAAGACAATCTAATGTGTATCTCATTCACGCTAAACTTTTTCAACAATGATTAATTCTGTTGGTAATAAAGTTCCCAAACTTTCCAGCCTGTGACCCCAAAACTAACATTGCCACAGGCTGATGGTCCCCCTAAAAATACATTTTACTTCTCTTTCTGGATAGATTGATTTCTTTAAAGGAAATTTATTTGGTCATAAGAAAAATGTAAGGTTGACAAAAACATCAGAATTTGGTAATAGCTTTAATCAGTTAACCAGTTTCTGTCCAAAAAAACACCATTCCCTCTGTTACCTGAGGAGACCAATCCTTCAAATCAGCTTTATCTGTTTTGATTTGTTTTAAAACATGCATACCTTTACTCTGTAGATGCATGCTGTGGGAAAATTGCATACAGTAGGCGCCATGGACCCCTTATAGGTCCTCATTTTCTGCTTCAATATGAACGTAAACCGCTGGCTGCTGCTGCTCTCTTGGAGGCTCAATGATGTTAATTAAATCCAAACGTCATGTATTGCATTAACAAATGTTTAGACATAAAACACATTACTACAACAGGTGAAAATAGCTGCTGGGAAGCGCTCTGAAATAATAAACGCCAGAAACAGTAATTCAGCACAAGATGACTGTTTTTTCTGAATGATCTCTCCTAATCCTTGAAGAAAACCTCTTTCCTGTCTGACCACTGTCAGTCAAAAACCTTTAAGTATGTCTGCCAACAGCATCGACGCCCTAATGCCAGGAATACACTGTGCAATTTCTTTCAATCGTTGCAAGCAGCTACAGCTGCGGTTTCGTCGTGATCACTCAAAGTGTGAGTTCACAGCTCACGATGTTTGTTCTCACACTGTGTGGCCCGACACTCTGATGTGATCTACCTGCTCACACTGTACGTCAAAAAACGACGTCCGACTCAGCTCCGCAGTGAGATGGCGCTACTCGGACTTGTCTATCCAGACTCCAAATGAGTAGATGAAGAATATGAAGCTCACTAGTGTAAAACGCGCTGCCTTGGCAAATTGTGCAATTTCTTGTGTTGAAAGACTTAAAAGAAAAGGCGACAACATATTTGGACAAAGACATGGCTGAGCGAACGTAGCTACTATGGTCCGTCATTTTTACAGAAAGAACTCCATTTCACTCGCACCCTCACCATGCTTCTGTGTTTTCATCTGAGTGGAAGAAAAAGGAGAAGAATCCTTGTTTGTGCACGTCCACTGAGCGATTTGCCCATGACGGCTGACTGAAAATCAAATATGTTTGATTTTTTTCTCGACCTCACAATTCCTGATCGTAGTCGTGAGAGGCTAATCGCCCGTTGTTGCCCCCTGTACACTACATGATGCATGACGCACGATCAGGCTAAAGGTTGGCCCAATCAAAAAATTCTCAGACGACTGGAAACCCAGACAGATGAAGGCAAAAAAATCACACAGTGTAAGCCTGGCTTAAGAGTTTTAGCCTCACTGGAGGTGACATATTTTGGAGTGTTTTCCAATCAGAGCTCTACTATCTCACGGCTTACTTCAATAGACAGAGACCCAAACCTCAACAGGGATTTTCATAGACCGGCAGCATCCTGCTGCTCCAGAGCAGTGGAAGACTGAGAGCGGAATAAACAGCTGATTAATGGGCAACATACTCATGATATCAGCATTTTAGAGGATATTTAATTAAGTTTAATGACAACATTTATGAAGTTTGACACCACTAACATAAACACATGGCAACAAAGCTTGTCTGACTATAAGCAGTGACTCTGAAATCAACCTTTAATTACATAATCAGCTTGCCCGGATTCTCTGAAATGTTTTGAGAAGACAGGCAATAAGATGCCTTGTGAGCAGAGCTCTGACTATGGACTTTTGAGAGGACAGTAATCTATGTGTTTTCATACCTTGCCTGTTAGAGACGTAACGACCATTAGCTGCTGTCAGAACCACTTGAGGGTGGCTCTCCTCCAAGTCGAACAGTTCATCTTTGCCTGGTTTGGAGCATCGTCCTGACCTTAAGGTCCCTGTGGGGCCCATGGGAGATAAGTACTTTCCCTCGCAGTCTTTAAAGGCAAGCTTCCCACACTTTAGCTCTAGTGTGTATGCTGTGGCCCTCCCATATTCTTTCAGGAGTTTCCCGTCACTGCTGAGGAAGCGTCTATCGCAAGTCTTCAAGTAGTATTTTCCATCCAGGTAGACGAGAGTCAGGAGAGCTTCTACACCCCATGGAATGTTCCTGTCCACAGCGATTTCCCCATCCTCTGGGGAGAGGTGGGCATAACGTTTACGGGCGACAGACAGCAAGTTGGCTTGCGGATGTAAAGCCAGGTGCACAGCCCAGAGCTCAGCATCTGTGATCATCTGTGCGAAGCAAGACAGGTAGTCCCGAGAGCCACCAAAGAAGCGGAGGTATTGCTCAGACTGAAGAGCCCAGCGGCCGTCTGACTGTGGCACAATGAGGAAGCGGCAGTCTGAATTATGGCCATCTGCCTCACAGGTGACTTTGCCATCCTTGTCAGAAGCCAAGTAGCGTCCCAGATGACTGCGCAAATACACCACTTGAGTCTCCTGGGTGTCTTGCTCTAGAATCCATATTTGCTTCTTCTTCAGGCTTGGAGCTGATGCATTCAGCTGAGAAAAAAAAGGTGTCTTTTTTAAATAGAATTTCTACAGATTACATGTACAATCAACAAAACTGTTTCATTTGATTGCAATGTTTACCTTAAACCCAAAGTTTTCTGCAGTAAGGTAGCGTCCCTCATGATTGATTAGACCAAACTGTAACTTTAAAGAGCGATTTCCATTTACAGGCATCTTCACCTTTGGATCGAGAGTTAGGAAAGGCACATAAATAGGACTGGAGATGAAGAAGAGAGAAATATGAAGTTAGAAAGTGAGGACAGGGAATTAAAGGAAAAAGTATAGCTAACTAAAGAGGAGAGGTAATCAAGCTGTGATGAATAAGAAATGCATCAAAGTAGATGGCGAAATACAAAAGCTGTAAAATCAGGAAATAAATTCATTAGGGTGCAGTATATAAAGCACTCCCAAAACCACAAATACTCTCCCCCACCAAAAACTTCATTACATATTTTCCCAGCCACAGCCTCCTCCTACTCACTGCGGTTTTGTGGCTTCTTACTTTACTGTTCCTGTAACTCCAATTCCAGCTCCCAGATTTAAGAGGCTTCTTTCACCTTTTTCTTATTTTCTAGCTTGCTCTTATTTTTCAGAATATGTGTTCTCTGAACTCAGCTCCACTGGAGCTCTTGTTCTCCCTAATCAGGTTAGAAGCAGTAGAGACCTGAGTCAGCCTTGATCTCTGTTCTGTCCAGTGTCAGCCCCTCTTCTCTGTGGTATAATTTTGCTCTTGACTGCTTTGCTCCACTTCTGAAGCCTATATCCAATTCCCCCCTTCTCTCCTGCTGAACAGCTTCATCTCTGTTCTTACAATACTTATTACCCCAAAAGACTTAATCTCTTGATTCCTCAAGACTTACGTTCTCTTGGGTGTTGTCTGTTAGCTTATTTTCTTTTACTATGTTTGTATCAATCCCATTAAGTAATTTTAAACTTTTCTTTAAAGTCCAAATGTCTAGTTTGTGATCTGCAAGTTTAATCAGAGATTAAGAACATTCCTAGAGGCCATAGAATATTAAGCCATTTGAATGCAAAAGCTTCTGATCTCAAACCAGCTATGAACAATGCTCTTCTTTACAATCTTAAGCTGATGAAATGTTTTCCCATCCTTGCCTTTTTCTAACTTACCAGGTGTGTAATCCTTCCTCTCTCTTTTTCTGCACCTCATTTGGAGCTCTGCTCTTCACCTCTTCCTGCTGTACATAAATAAAAGTGTGTAGAAACAATGCTCTAAACCGCTCCGAGTACCAGGTAACAAGAGCACTCCCTGTGCCTTTGAGGTACTTGCCTAGGCACAGCTCCTCTTTCCTGCCTGTGCTGGGTTTGATTACATTGCGTCTCTGATTGCAAGTTCTCTCAGTCCTAATGGGAAATGGTTCTGAGAAGGAGGCAGACTTATCATCTAAATTTGGGAAAGGAGATGGTGGGTATAAAGGCAGCAATCTATAAAACATTCAGGTATGGATTTGGTTTTGTTACCTTGTGGGAACGGTGTAAGGCAGATTTTAATTATGCCACATCATTGGGACGTACATGCACTTATGGGAAGCACTCAACTGGTCTCCATGAGGAAAATTTCTCTCTTCATGTTGTCTGGGGGTTAGGGTTAGCTATATGTTGGTAATGGTTGAGGTAAGGCCATACAGTACCACTGAATGGAAGTCAATGAAAGGTCCCAATAAAACATGGAAATAAAACTTGTGTGTTGGTATCCCTGTCTTGGCATCAGAGTGAGGACCATTTTTCCAATTTCACCATTAATTTGAGGATTGGTTGTTGTGAAATGAGGACATTTATCTTGTCCCAAGTAGCTATTTTGCTAACAGTTGGGTTTAGGGCAAAGACGTGAATAGAGTTTAGAGTTAGTTATGCACTGGTAATGGTTAGGTCTAGGGTTATTTACAGGGTTGGAGCATAAAATTACACAAGGTCCTCAACAAATATGGAAAGATGAGAATGTGTGTGTGTGTGTGTAATCAGCCTAGCCAATCAGCTTATTATAGGTCCTCTTTGAGGAGTAAACAGACGTGTCTGTGCCTGATTCCATCTAATCCACAACCCAATCATTGCAGCCTGGCTAATCTACTGTAACAGCCCCTCCGAATTTCTTCAACCTTCCCACATACATATTCCTTCACAACACACTCTGACTTTTGCACTGCTTTTCGTTGACAATAAACATATGCCTTTATTTAATCACATAGAATAATGTAGATATCATCAACAAGACAAAGGGTTCAGGAGGCTGTCAAAAAGGATTTGCTCCTTCCAAATGACAGCAAAAACATTGCATAAACATGTTTTTGGATTCACTTAAAGAGATCCACATACTAAACTGTTGTGAAGAAGAAGTAAATCCAGCCTGAGTGTTAGATTGTTAGGAATGTTAGAGTTTTAAGGCTTTGAAAGTATCCTTTAAAATAGTAGCAGATAAATGTGAATAAACCCTGACACAGAGATATTAAAGGCAGGCAAAACAGTGCATTTTTATTTGGTTTAATGTAAAAAAACAAATAATGACTCAGGGATGCATTAAATTGTGAGGAGGCTGAAAGAGAATGGGTTAGATAAGCTGGTCCCAGGAGGTCTGGTCGGGACAGGTCTAGCTGAAACAAAGAAACGGTTAGCTCAGCATGTCTGCCATAAGCTGCACAATTAGCTGGGAGCTAACAATGCTAGCCAGTCCAATGCAGTAGTTTCATCGGACCCACGTGGCTCATTCAGTCTGTTCAGTGAGCATTAGCATCATTAAAACACTTCATCAGCAGTTTAATCAGAAAGCTTATTTTAAATAAAATACAAACATGACCATCTATTCTACCTAGTTACCCCAAGCAGAGCGCTTATTAAGCATCAGACGGAAAAGGAGAAAGATGGATGTCACTGTTTTTGCTTGTTAGAGTGGAGGGCCTTCGCATCGGTTCGGTTTTCTGCAGGCCCCGTCTTCAGTCCAGTCCGTTTGTCCAAGAGAGCTAACCTATTCCCTGTTTCAGCTGGATTCGTCCAGACCAGAACCCCCAGGGCCAGCTAAGCTAACCCATTTATCTTACAGCCTCATCACAGTTTAATGCATTCCTAAGTCATTATTCATTTTTCACCATAAAACTAAATGAAACTGCACTGTTTTGACTGCAGTTAACATCTCTGCATAAGGGTTTATTCACATTTATCTGTTTCTATTTTAAAGGACGCTTTCAATGCATTAAGACTTAAAACTCAAATATTCCTAAGACTCTTGAACAAACTCTTGAACCCCTCTTCCCCTTTTATCTGTTTATTTATTATTATTTTCAGTATTGTTTAGTGTATGAGTAGTTATTAGATATAATTATAATAATAATGTGTGATTAGTCACTAATAAACATACCGTATATATACTGGAGTCACTTTTCTTTTTGCAGAATCCGAATGAACAGAGACAGATTTATTTGGTTGGTGATTAATATCTTTAGCCATAGCCATAGTCTAAATTACTAAATTGGTGAAAGACAACTGAATTTTAAACTTCCAGATTCAGGAGTCCAACCTTTTATGTAAGATACTAATAAACCAGGTCAGTGAGCAAAATACAGTTTTTATAAATGAACTGATAATAATTAACCAGTTTTACCCTTGATTTGAATAACCTATTAATTAACTATATGTTCCAGTTGTAGTTATTTAATATATTCATAACCTTCTGGTAAACTTGCACAACATCTCTAAAACCGAAATGGGCAGTCTGACCAAAAGTGCCACAGATGATGCCATCTTAAAGATGTAGATATAGCTGGCAGAGGCCAATATTGCCAGATCACAGGATCCTATGAAATACTGAGAAGAATAAGGGCAATCTATCCAAACCTCTTCTTCATGTATAATTTCTTTGCTGTCCAGGCTCATATGTGCCATCAAACTGGGTCTTTTCTAAAAAAGGAGAAGATAGAAAAAGTCTTTCCAACTAACTAAAAGAAGATTAATTTTCAAAAGGTTTGAAAGGAAAGGAAATAATGATTTAAAAAATCCTTGTCCACAAGCATCCTCAGTAACATATTACTTAAATATTTTCACATTATATATGTTCACATTATTTATTGACTGCAACTGGGAAGGACAAATATATTTTAAATTTAAAGGAAGATGTGAAATAATACAATATAACATTCAATATTGAACTCTGGGCATCCCTGCTGCCTCCACGAACCTGGCCCCCGGCTAAAAGGGAAGAAAATGGAATTGGAATGGAACAACATACAATGTCCTAAATTATTGCACAACGTCATCAAATCAGTGTTAGTTATCTGACATATAGGCTGCATGTAAGGATTTTAAAGGTCCAGCAGGTGTCAGTACTCAGTGACACAGTAGCCTATTGTCACACTACCAATATTAAAACATGTGTCCTCTGGCTGAGGACTGGCGGCCCATGGCTCTCTGTGGAGAGCAGGTCCGGTCCAATTAGCGGCTCAGCAGTCGACACTTCATAATCGTTCTGATCTTCTGATAAACAAAAATAATCCATGCCGGGCGATTCTTCAGATCCTTGGGAAGACTGTGAAAATTTTCCCCTTTTTCCATGTAGCCTGGAATACTGCATTTACGCATGTGGCCCTTTTTTCAATAGAGAAACTGCCTGCTTTGTAATTCTTGTAAAAGTAAACTCAACTGCAGGCTAAACAGCTAAACTAGTGCCTTACATCTTAGCAACCTCTGTTCATGTTCTTGGGCCAGTGAACCAGTGAGCTGCTCTCTATGTAGATTTCAGGGCATGACAAAAGTACAGGTCAGAACCAAATAAGGCAACATCCCCGAGTTGACGTCAATACGGTGCCTCGTTTGGATTGTTTGCCTGTTTTAAGGTGGCAGTTTGGAATTGTGAGATTTGCATCGAAAGAAGGTGTCGATGAGGTTTGAACTTCTCTGTACGTCCATTTCCCCCACTGAACTATCGTTATTCCTCTATGACAATGGAAACTCGGATTTGCATTCTATGACCACTTTTAGAAAGGAGACGGAATTAATGATGAGTACACAGAATTCAATTCAATTTCAATTCAGTTTATTTCTATAGCGCCAAATTCACAACGCAAGTCATCTCAAGGCACTTTACAGTTTAACCAGATCATACAGTCAAATTGATTCAAAGTTTTCTATCTAAGGAAAACCAGCTGATTGCATCGATTCATTGAATCAGATGCAATCCCTCACACTAAGCATGCTTGTAGCGACAGTGGAGAGGAAAAACTCCCTTTTAACAGGAAGAAACCTCCAGCAGAACCAGGCTCAGTGTGAGCGGCCATCTGCCGAGGCCGACTGGGGTTCAAGGAGACAGAAGCAGAGATACAAAAAGCAGCTGTAAAAGGCGGCCCCGTCCAGGAAACACGCAGCCAGGCAGACTAGCTCCAAGGCAGCTCCCATGCCAGAGGACGAAGAGAGCACATCCACTCAGTCACGGTCAGAGAAACAGGACCACACTGGAAAACAGGCCGATCTCCAACATCTATTAACAAGGGTGTTGATGGCAGCAGCACAGCTGATGTTTCTTTCCAGGATGACGTCACAGCCAAACAGGAACAGACGAGGCAAAGCTACTCTGAGGAAAAGCAGAGAGAGCAGAAGGTTAGAGATTGAACTAAAAATAAAAGAAGCAACTTAAGGTCCAGATAGTTGAAAGCAAGGAGGCATACAGGAAAGTACTGGAAAAAAGCTCCATCAGAACAATATCAGAGATGCGGGTCAGTGATGAAGAAGATCCCAGGCTCCAAGCAGAAGGATGATCAGACAGATGTAATTCTTGACAGAACCAAATAACTCAAGTCATTCTTCCTTAGGTCAAGTTCAGAAAGAATCTCAGCATCTTTCTCTTCTGTCCACAGTCAGATGGACATTTCACGCTCTTTTGACCCAAAGCCTTTCTCTTACACCTCAAATGTGTTATTTTTACCTCTACTATTAACCTCCCTGCTTTCATGTGTTTGTTCTTAGCCAAATCAGAAGATTGTACTGCTCCTTCTGCTGCCTTCCAGTCTCTAAAGGAATTTTTTCTTAGGAAAACTACACTGTTTGTGGCAAGATTCTAAACTCTCCAGAGAGAGACTTATAGACCTATAGATGTTATAAGATCTCCAGCCATGTGTTTACGTAGTGGTGGCCATCTTAGGACAAAGTTTTACAACTTTTTGTCCTGGCTCAGCCCTGCTTTGTAGAGTATTCACCTGGTGCTGTCTGAGCAAACCCCTTTTGCTCCAGTGCTGCTA